CACTTATCAACCACAGGAAGGAAAGACATTTCGCTTGGCTCCTAATAAAGAAACTGTATTAGTCGAACTTTGGGATTAGGCCAAGCAAATGTCTTCATTACCTTTTGAGAATCGGAAAAGTGCTTCGCTTATCTGCTATCTCAAAAAGGATGTGCAAGGAATTGTTCGTGCTCTTAAGACTGGTTTTCCAGAGCTACGGATTAAGGAATATCATGGTAAATCAGATCCTGAGGAAAAGGCTCACAATTTTAGCAATGTAGAAGAATCATGGAAAGACTTAGACCTAATTGCCTATACTAGCACTCTAAAAATAGGAGTATCGTGTACCAATCCTAAGTTTGAGCGAGCATTCTGTCTTTTTAATAACTTCATAGAAACAAATGCTGGATCGAATCAGATGTTATTCCGCATGCGATGTATTAAGGATTATATATGTCATATCGAACAAAGATCATCTAATGTTCCTATTACAGAGAAAGGATTATTCCAATGGTTGTTGAATGCTAAACGAGAATGCCTTCCCCGAGAACTTCAGAATAGAGGAATTTTTCCAGATATAGATTCTATTATCCGGAATAAAGATGTGCCAACTATTCGATTGTGGGTAGCATATATGTTGGAAAATTTTCGTTCCCGACGTTTATTTGGTTGGAGGATGGTCGATTTTCTTCGAAAGGCAGGTATGGTAGTTTCTGTCATAGAATTCATTCCTAAACCTGAAGATATTACAATATTGCTATCCCAAACAGTGAAGACGAGTTCTTCTATTGTTAAAGCAGAGGAGATATCAAATATATCTAATGCTTCTATTGTCAACCATGAGACTGCTGAATTATCAGAGAATAAGCCAAAAAAGACTTTAGAAGAGAAGCGTTCTTTAGACCAGCATCATATTGTGGATTGTTATGAGATATTACCTGAAACATTAACCAAAGATTTTATCTCTAAGTACAGAAATTATAATCATATGAAATGGTTCAGAGCTTATAGACAATTACGAGATGCAGGTACTAATAATGAAATAGCTGTTGAGGCTATTTCCTGTAAAAATTATAGAGAAAATAGGCTTACGACTGCAACCCGGGCTGAGAAGCACCGAATTTGCCTAGAATTATTAAGAATTTGC